GTCTTAAAGAAAGTAAAAGAGTTAGAATTTCACCTTGTGTGCTATATGAGGCATTATTTAGAAAAACATAAGCAGAGGAAATTACTAATAGAGCAGCTCTAGTAAAAAGGTTAATAACAAATGAGATTGGAAAAAGGATTAGTCAAATTCTAAACAGACAGGCAACACAAAAATGTATAGATATAGTAACAAGAACAGTATAGAATACATTTTACAACCAAGTATGAAGAGCCTGTTGTGAAAAAGTACAAGAATGAGAGAAAAATGTTAATATAACAAGCAAAATGAAAAAAGGTGCTTGAACTAGGAAAAGATCAGAGAAAAGGACAAAGAAGAATAAGATGGCAAAAGAAGAAGAAAAGAAGAGAAGATTGGAAAAAGTGAATCGAATGAAGAAAGAAGCTTGGAAGACAATTGATATACTTGTCACAGAGGGGGGAAGACCTTTCTGGTATGGCTTTAAGTAGTTAGACGAGCAGTCTATTTCTAACTAAGATAGTATAGCAGGTTGCACTTAGGTACCAATAGGTGGCTGAGTGATACTAGACTTAAGTATTGGAAAATTTTATGTAATTATAATTGTAAATAGTTTCAAGAATTTTAATAAAGTACTAGTGTAACTGCTTAAGGTAAAAAAAAAAAACAAAAAAATAATAATAATAATAATAAATAAATAAATAAATAAAATAAAATAAAACTAAAAATTAAAACTAAAATAAAAAAAAATAAAATAAAAAAATAAAATAAAAAATTAAAACTAAAAAAAAAACAAAAAAAAACAAAAATAATAAAATAATAAAATAATAATAATAAAAAATAAATAAAAAATATAATAAAACTACAAATTAAAATTAAAAATAAAAAAAATAAAAAAACAAAAAAAAATTTAAAACTAAAAAAAACAAAAAAAATAAAAAATCATTTTACTTGATTAAAGTGAATCAAAATTAACAAAAATCCAGTTTACTTGAACCAAATTCAGATTCAAATAAATTAAAATTAGGGTTTATTGAACCAAAATCAGAATCAAGTAAACCAAAACAGGTTTACTTGATTCTAATTCGAATTCAAGTGAGTCAAAATCAGATTCAAATAAATCAAAATCAGGTTCATTTAAACCAAAATTAGGATTACTTGAACCTAATTCAGATTTAAGTAAGTCAAAATTGGAGTTACTTGAATCTAATTTGGAACAAGTGTGTTAAAATTAGAGTCATTTGAACATAATTTGGATTCAAGTAAGCTAAAATCAGGTTTACTTAAACCAGGTTTAAGTGAACCAAAATCAGGTTTACTTAAATCTCATTTAGGTTTAAATGGATCAAAATCAGGTTTAAGTAAGTTAATCAGATTCATTTAAACCTAAGCTAGGTTCAAATAAACCAAAATCAAATTTACTTGAACCTAATTTAGATTCAAATAGATCAAAATCAGATTTACTTGAACAAAATTCAAATTCAAATAAGTCAAAGTCAGGTTCACTTGAATCTAATTTGGGTTCAAGCTGCTAAAACTAAGTTTACATGAACTAAATTTAGGTTTAAGTAAGCTAAAATCATGTTTACATAAATCAAATTCGATTTTTTAAACTAAATAACTACAAAATCTGGGATCTAAAATACTTAAAACCTAGGCCTGAGGCAACACTCAGACCTGAAACCTAAATTAATTAAGGTCTATTTCCGGAGCAACACCTGGGCCTAAGACCTAGTTATAGATTAATATTGTGAAATAAAATTATATGAATACATGTAAATATCATATGATTTGACCAATTAGAATTAGTAATTATTTGTACTATCTAGGAAAAACATATAGCGATCTAGGCAAATTTAGTTATTTGTGAAGTTAATTTTTTTTGATCCAATTTACATTCTATAATTTTACTATAATAAATAAACTATTTTAAATTATATACTATAAAATTTTAATAATAATTAACCTAAACATTAAAAAGTTTTATTAGTAACATATTTTTATTTACTATGTACTACAACAGTGATCATATGAAAAATGATTTATGTTCACCCTACCTTTAAATTATATCACCAATTTCACATATCTCTACCAAGTGTAATCAATCATTATTTCTAACTTTAATTTCCAAACTTCTTATACATAGAAACTTTTCATATTATATTACATATTACAATAAATATAAAAAAAACTTGAGATATTAATAGTTTATCGTACTCATGAATGAATGATTTCCAATTTATCAAATAACTTTCTGACAATATGCTATTTGTGAATATAAATAAATTTACTTTTTATCTTAATGTAGTATAACTGATATTTAATTTACTTTAGAAAAATAAAAAAAGTTCAAACTAACATCAAGCTTAGTATATTTAGATGAGAAAAAATTCATTCTCAAAACCTTAAAAACAAATGCATATTTCTATAATTATTTAGATGATGATGTAATGATAAAATTAATAAAATGTCTGCATGATAAAATTATTGCTTTTAAGTAAATATAAAAATAAAATAAATTATTATTATATGATATCTATATTAAACATTTAAATAAGGAACTATTTGAAAATTGTGCAAATTGAATGAAAATTAGAAGAATTACAATAAATCATTTTGCAAACCATGGTAATAAAATCTCTGCATAATAAAATTAATAAAAAGATGCTGCATAATAAAATTAACAAAAACAAAACCGATACTTATAAGGAAAAAGCTATAAAACTCTTTTTAGTTTAGTGGTTTTATTAGGAATTCCGCAAGTGTTGTAAGAGTATACAATAAAACAAGTGCTCATATCTGGCACTTACTGAATCTATATATAGATGTCACCAAGAGAAAACCAGACTTTGAGTTTTTAACTTTATGACTTCCATATAGGCACTATCACCTTAGTCACATCGAATTTTGGTTACCAACCTAAGGTTAGACCGTAATAAAATCACTATGACTATTATATTAAAATCCATATCAAAAATATTTAAATATCGTCCAAATTTGAAAGTGTTTTGAATAGCAGCCAATCAAAACTAATTTCTGTCATGCTACTTTACCAACTTACATTACTAACTATTTGGATCATTTAAATCATTTGTGTACAAAATACTGTATTGGTCGAATAGCTAATACAAAGATTATATCAGATCAATTACTTTAATCAAACTTATAGTTTATGTTGAATGCGGGATAAATTACATTTACATTTACATGAAATTTTTTGCACGACTAAAACTATTAGACTAAAATGAAATTTTCACATTGTAATATATGTAATTTGTCATCCAAAATAACTTAAGGCATGAATATCGATTAACTAGGTGAAGCTCTTTTATATAGATCTATGTATTTTTAAAAATTAGTTTTTATCTAGTATCTATTAGATTATCAATTAACAATTATTAAAAGACATAATTTGGGCCTCGAAATGACTCATTTGTCATTTAGATCATTTGAGTAATTTCGGAACTTTACCATTTCTATTTTCCGACTATCTAAATATATTCCTTATACGGTCTTAGTCGCTATTTTTTAAATTCTTTACACAAGCTATAAAATATCCATCTAAAGGTTGTATTTAATTTTTCTAAATTGAATCCATATTATGTATTAGACTCTATTTTAAACACCAATATTTTCATAACCATTGTCATATTTTGCCTTAGCAATTTCGACCAATTCTGCCAAATCACCACTTCGATCACACATTCGACGAAACATTGAGTCTGGCTTTTGCAGGAGAATATATGGATGATCAAACTCTACAATTCTTCCAGCATCTGTTGTAATTACAAAATATAATTAACAAATAAGTTCATAAAAATCAACGATAAATATTTCGAATAAGATCGAATAAGACTAAATGATACTTACCTAACACTAAAATTTTGTCATAATCTACAACGGTTCTTAAACGATGTGCAATACATAGCAGAGTTGCGTCGCTAAACTCTTCACGTATTGTTTTTTGAATCATACGATCTGTCTTAAAATCTACACTAGCGGTTGCCTCATCCATAATAATTAACTTAGATCTACGAACCAATGCCCTTGCAAGTGCAATCAGTTGCCGTTGACCCTGACTATAATTATTACCATTTTCACTAACGGGTGCGTCGAGAGTCCATGTTATTTGACCCTGTGATTGTTCATTTTGTGATAATTTGTTATCATTACCAGCGCCTGAACCTACAGTTGCATAATCGATTAGATGAGCTCTTCGAAGTGCATTCCATAGTTCAGCATCGTCATGTTCACCAAAAGAATCTAAATTGCTCCTATACATTTTATGCCAATTTTAAATAACAAGTCATAAGCAATGAGAAAAATATATGATGCAATTGTAATTAATAACTTTTCCGAAACAAACAAGTTATCAAGGAATAAAAACGTTACCTCAAAGTTCCGCTAAATAACACCGGATCTTGAGGTATTATAGTAAGCCTACTCCTTAAATCAAAAAGACCAATAGTTGAAATATCAATACCATCAATAATTATTTGACCAGAAGTTGGTTCCATAAACCTAAAAAAAGATGTGGCCAACGTGGATTTCCCAGACCCTAAGAATACAGAACGTTAATCATCTCATTTAGTGGACTCTGAATATAATAAATTCATACAGATAATTTATAAATGACTAATATACATTATTAAGTTATATGCTATTCAAATAGGAACTCGAACAATACATAGAAAGGTTGTATTAGGTTTAATTATAAAATTTTAGCAACTTTTTTTTATCCACAACATGCAGCTCTGATTGGTTGAATATTATTTTAACCAATTATAATTGCAGGAAAGTGGATACTACAGTAATATAACCATATAACCTCTATCTGCATTGTTAGGTCCTATTTAAATACATCAATGTGTAAGTTTACCAGTTCTACCAACAATTCCAACCTTTTCTGCAGGTTGAATGTGGAATGAAATGTCTTTTAATACCGGGGGATTATCAGGTGCATATTGCATAATGAGGTTTTTAACTTGAATATCTCCTCTTGAAGGCCACTCTGGTGATGGGCGATGACCTTCGATAATTCTTGGTGGTTCTTCTTCCAATATCAGATAATCTTGAATTCTCTCAACTAGAAATTCGATAAAAAAGAGTTATAATATAAAAAAAAGACATAAATATAAAATAATGAAACTTACTTGAGTTCATATTCATCTCCTGAACGGCATACATACGAATAACCCAAATTACATGTCCGGTGAAATTTAATGCATTTATCAATGCGAAACCTGCTAAACCAGGATCCATTCCATTGGAAAGATTATATACAACAATAACAGCAGTGGAAAATCCAACTAGGCCACCTGCAAAATCAACACGAGTATGAAGCCATCGATTGCATGCCCAATTGAATATGTACGGACGATTATTGTTATCTACGAGACTCAACATTCTTTTCATCAATCTTTTTTCGGCACCAAATGCTCTGATAGTAGACACGCCTGTTATGGTCTTTATGCATTAAAATATATGGATATAGGTAATAAGCAAAAACAATACATTAGCATCTAAATCAAGAATGGTAAAGTATTTACCTCGCCAAATGCTGCATATATTGGAGACCTACTAACAGATTCCAGGCCTAGATAATTATATGTAAATAAATTGTTGTAATCAAGATAACTGAAAATGATTATAAATGGTCAGGTATATTACGTTTTAAATCTCTGGACGTAGCTATATAATATGCACCAATAACTATAAACATTGCTGCAATGAAAGCACCAGCTATTAAGAATTGAGGCATTACAATTGAAATGGCAAAAATCACCGACACGGTAGAAAAGCACGAATAAAGAAGAAACATAATAATAGGAGAAAACATTTGGTCAACTGTTTCCATATCTTTAGAGAATCGATTCAATATTCTTCCTTCAGAAATTTAACATATATTATTAGGCGCGTGAATTACATGAAATCAATATAACTTAAATATAAGTCTATTACCTATTGGTGTTGTGTCATAAAATCTAAGTGTTGCTGACAGCACCTTATCTAACATACCACTATGTAACTTCTTAGATGCAATTAGGGAACCAGTGAAGATGTAATATGCCCTGAAAGACGTTAATATGATGGAAGCTAGTCCAATTAACGCATAAACCCAAAGATAGTAGTCAACGTTAACGGGTTCATGGGTCTCTTCTAATATATTTACTGACGATAGACGATTAATTGAAGAATGATTGAGGGAAGGGGATGAGACGTAAGATAATGCCAAATTTTTTGTAGTGTATAAATTATCCAGAAAGAGAGAAGTGAACCTCCATGACATGGTCGTAGCTAATTGATGGATTTGATTATAGCTATCATTATAGGCTTTGGTCCATTTTTGAACCCACCAATCTGAATAAAGTCATAAGAACTATTAGTAATATTGTATTAATATGTTACTCAGTTAAATGTAAAGCTAAAAAAAATCAACCTTGTCCAACGTAAATAATCTGCACCACTACAAACAAAAGAAATACCGATAACCAATACCAAAATCCTCCAGACGCTACCAAATATAGTTTATAATACTTCCATCCAACCATACCGACAGCCCTTGTTTCCTCAGAGATCAGTCGTCCATCGCCTTCACGAATATTTTTGTTGCTTTTCTGAAATTTCGCATCTATAACATCCTCAACAGAGGTCCTTAATCCTTCACCCTCAAAAGTCACACCGTCCAAAAGTCCTGTAGCTAAAATTTCTTCTACAGACCCTTCAGCCGATATTTGACCGTTTTTCATAACTACAACTTTAGCAGCACCACGAAGACATAATCCTACGTGATGTGTAACAAGAATACGGGTACGGTTTTTCATCAAATCTCCCATCAAACATTGTTCAAATATATGTTTAGCGGTGTGTGAATCGACAGCTGTATAGTACGAAAAAATGTAAATTCGGAATTTATAATATGTATATTTTATATAATAAATTTACCAGATAGGCAATCGTCTAAAATTATTATTTTAGCTTGGGAGTAAATGGCCCTGGCTAAAGCGACACCTTTAATAAAAAAGACAATAAAATAACACAAAGTCATAAATTTAATCTCAAAAACTTAAATTAGACACACGATTCTAGTTAATTCTTACGTTGTTTTTGACCACCACTAAGCGTTATTCCCTTTTCGCCAATTTCTGTTTGATCCCCAAATTCAAGAATCTCCAAATCTCTATCGAGGGCGCATACACGTAAAACTTCTGAATAAATTTCGTAATCAAGTGGAAGGCCGAATAGAATATTATCTTTTATAGAAGCATTCTGGAGCCACGCTAAGAATTTTTTTTTTTTTTGTCAGAAAATGAATTGATATATATTACAACATATAAGGAATGAAACTACCTGTTTGAGAAACGTAGGCAATACCACTCGGCGCACCGCCTAATTTATTCAAAGATTCTATATTCGTCCTAGGCAAGAACACCTGGCCGTCTAAACATTCCATTTCTCCCAATAATGCCATCAATAAGCTTGTTTTTCCACTACCCGTAGGCCCGCAGATTATTGACAATTCATTGACAGGAAAGGATATATTCAAATTTATCAAAGTGAATTTATTCGATGGATTTTGCGTATTTAAGTTTACAGAAACGGAAGAATTGTCTATGGAATCTTCACCATCTGGCCACCGAAAAGTTGAATTTTTAAATCCAATATAAGGATCATTAATACTTGGAATAGAATTTTGGCGATTAAGTTCTGGTTCGTTTAAAAACTTTTCAATACGAGAAATTGAAACACGAGCTACATAATATTATAAGTATTACATGTATAGTCATTAAATTTAAGGTTGTGAAGATCTAATACAAGACAAATAATTAGAACACACCTTGAATAATGCCAGTAAGCATTGATGGCATTTCGTCAAGGGCATGACGAAGATTATTAAATAGAGCAAGGGCGGTAAATGCAACAGCAGCAGTCAATTCCTTTTAATAAAGTTTATTAAATATTAATACAGCTTGACAAGACAATTAATAATACGAAATAGATACTTACATTGCCTAATAATTTTGTATACGTAATGAACATGGACAACATGATTATAAGAGGTAAACTCGTCCAAAGGCTACACATATAAACCCATTCCATTAACCGATTTTTGATTTGGTTTAACTCGTTATCACGAGCATTCATAACCTTTGCCCGAAAGTGGTCTTCCCATGCAAAAAATTTAATGACACGAATGGCTTGTAGTAACTATTAATAAAAAGTAATTATAGCTAAATTTGTGATGAAAGCAAAAATAATCAAGTTAGGAAAGCATGATATAGTTATAACCTCATTAATCACACCCATTCGTTTATCAGTTGTGGCCATAAGACGTTTATGAATAGTTTGAAATCTCTAAAATTATAATTTACGAAATCAATTTCTATTGATAAATAAAATAAACCAGGGTTATTTAGTAATCATAATACCTGACTAATAAATGCTGGCAATGGATATGTTATAATTATGGCCAATACACCTGCCAAAGCTGATACACCAAGCAAGGAGTATAAAAACAATATAGAAACGATAATCTGTATAGGATAGCCATATACTGAAAGACACGAAATGTTAGAATAATTTTATGTTGCAAACCAGAGTAGGATAAATTTATCGAAACTCACAATAAAAAACATATGCTGATAATTCCGAGACTTTTTGAGCGTCAACGGCCATAAGATTAGTGATCTTTCCGGTTTTATTTTTAGACTCTTCATTTTCAACATCGCCTGATGTATCTTTTCGAGATAGAGATTTCAGATATACTTCGCCAATGATTATTGCCTACAATAATCAAAAGGCAAAATAGTTGGTGACAGAAAAACTTAAAGTATATAAGCCAATATATTTATGTACCTGGCACTTTACGCTCAGGTGGCGGCCAATATATAATGCCTGTTGGAAACACAGGCTTGGCACCACTGCTCCCAAAAATAAACCAAAAGCATATGAATAAGCTGTCACATAAGACTCTTCTTTATGATTTGGATAGTTTTGAACATATAATAACAATTTTTGGAGAAAATAAGGCGGAACAAAAGAATAAATCAGAGTCCAGAACATTGCGTAAACAAATTGGATAAGAAGCTCTTTTCGAAACGATAAAAATAAAGACTTGACGATAGAAGGCTTTTTAGACGAATGAAAACTTTTCAATATATTTTTTGCTCTAGCAAAACTAGGTAACTCAAAAACATCTTTGTCGTCAAGGGTAGATCGAAAGCCCTTGCTGATTAACGGATTGATCCATGAAAATGTGAATTTATCGTATAAAGAGCATTTCACCTCAGGGGACAGATAGCGGCCCTAATGAATATGAAGTTATATTTCGGTCAAACAAACGCTTGAGGTTAAACGAATAAAATGTTGACAAAAATACCTCAGAATTTGGTTTTGAAAGCAATTCAAAATCATCTTGCGGCTCCGAAATTGAAATGCAAACCAAGATGAATGCAAAACTAAGAATCCATAACTTGAGATAATATTCTGAGTTGAAATCTGTACCAAACTTCAGATAAAGTGAATGAATATTTGCTATTGAAGAAACTAAAGAAAGAAAGTATAGCACATTTAATTTTCCACGGATATGAAGAACACTACGCTGCTTTGAAACAATGTTAAAGGCTGATAATATTATTGCATAAGCCTAAAATAAAGTATATTAAATTATTACTAGATTACAATTCAAAATAGACAATTTAAACAATAAACACGCACCCATATGATGGCTTCTAATATAGGAGCCACAAGCCAATAATTTTCATATTGATTCTCATGATAATCTTTTCGTCTTATTATGGCAAGAAAAGCGAATAGCAAACATATCACAATACTGATAACAAGCCGGGTACCATCGAAGAACATATGTTTAGAAGTCTGATTACTGACAAGAGTTTCATTTGAATAGTCTGAATTATCATCAGAAACATCATATTCTGTTTCATTATTGTTGATCAATCCGGATCGTTCAATAGAGCCGTAATTTGAATTAAATTGACTATTAAATAAACGTTCATAGTCTGGTCCTTTATGTCTCCTCAGTTGAAGATAAGAAGTTATGAAAATACATAGTGAAGCAATTGAATATAGTGATAAGACTCCAGCGTCAACCACACTAATTTTTGTCGGATAAAAAGTCAGATATACGAAAATAAAAATAGATCATTATAAATTATTTACACTTCTCTAAAGCAATCCGTAAAATCATTATTTTGCCACGGCCCCTAAAATATGTAAATGGTTAACAACAAACAAGGAGATAAATTTTAAGAACATTTGGGTTCTTATTAAAAAGAAAGGTTATTACCCAAGGATCGCTACCACAAATACTCTCTAATATCGAAGTATTGATCATACGAATAAGAATGAAGAAAAAGGTTGAAATAAGCAGTAAAATCTAAAATGTCAAGTTATATTTGTGAACAATGGACTTCCGGTTCACAAACAGGTTTGACAATTACAGTAAATGATCGGAAAATTTTATAACTCAGGTCCCTAAGTCCGATTTTTATCTGCAACGTGCAGATCCTGATACAAAGGCAAAAGTTTGTTCAAATACTCGGGTAATTTATACACTTTTAAAGTACTTTCGAGACCGTAATGTTTTTACTAATAATAAGATAAACACTATATAGTCAACACCATGAATGCACACACCATAAATGCATACACCATAAATGCACGGACTATGTAAAACCTCTCTAAATGCATGGTTCCGGCTTATAAGAGCTCTATATGTTTTCTTACTACGTATTCATGCACATCCTCATATTTTAAATTTTGTAACTGTATATTTATTAAAAATTAAAAAAAAATATATATGGGCGCTGTTCAATAGAAAAGGGGAAATTTCCTTTTTAGATTGACCAGATTTAAAAAGAGGAGATTTCCTCCTTTTCTATTGTAACAGCTGTTACATGTAATCTCCATAGATGGGCAACCGCAGTAAGATTTGTTCTCCAATTATTGCTAGGTAACATTATGTAATTTTTACAATGATGCATGACTGCGCATCTGTGCTTTTACTAATTTCACATCTTTCCTATTATTGGTCGCAGGTGAATCTCCGATTGATATGTCAATTAACGTTAAATAAAAACTATATCTATATGTGGTCACTCAGACACTCATTTCGTAGACACCGACAACAAATCAAATCACATTATGCGACAATTTACTAATAATATATACTAATACAGTAATAACATGCTAAATTGTCGCATAGAGTGATTTAACTTTTTACGTAATAAGTAATTACCTTGCCCATCACCGACAATCAATTCATCGACACTCGGGTCAGTAATACTTTAGGTATTATTTCAGTATATAATCGTAATATTGTTCAATTTGTATGGCCGTTATGTAATAGTTGAATTGTTGGCGTTCTAGCCATGGCAATACAGTTGTTAATTTTAATCTTTGAACCGTTAGTGCTTTTCCTAATACAGTATAACCTCGATATAACGAACCTTGATATAACGATAACGAAGATTATTTCTAATTTTTATGTTTAAATTAGCCCTGATATAACGAAGCAAAACCTCCAACTCAAGAGCTTCGAGGTTATACTGTAAGTTGTATATTCGATTTCATTCTATCTTGGGAAATATTTCAACCATTTCTCTTTTATAAAATTTTTCTAATTGGTATGTTTTTTTTGATATTTTTTAACTATTTCATAAAGGCATTTGGGGTATTTGTTGCTTGTTGTATTCTTCAAAATTGTAATTTTTTTTTGTTGTAATAAGAATATAATATTTTTTTACATATATATAGCCAAATTAAAAAGCTACTTGTTGATTATTCATATAAGGTTAACAATATTTACAGTAGTACAACATTACTAAAGTTAGTATAACTTTCTGAATATAAATGGGATTGATAAATAATAGCACATCGTAAATGTGTACAAGGTTGGCGGCGAAGACTAAATTATTAAAACTCATTAAGGTTAGGGTTATGATCTAGTCAGAGAGTGTTTATACAGTAAAATTGTTCAACGAAAACTTTTTGTTAGAGCACAAAAGGTGGTTTATTATGCTAATTTTTGAGCCATGAGCAAAGTTTGGCAGAACGAACGTTTGTTTTTGATCTTTCTGATCGTGTTACGTTACACCTAATCTTGAAATCTGATTCGTAGTTCAGGAGATCTGCGCCACCAACCTTGTACACATTTACGATGTGCTAAATAATATACGTACTACGTAGTACGTAGCAGATGTTATATGTACTGCTCAAATCGCCGATAACTCTCAGGGCCCTGATGATATCCAACTACCCCAGTGGCACCGACAGATTTTTCACTGATCGACAGCGATTGACCAATTATATTACAAGATCAGGTGTAACGTGAAATCAAAACAAAAACTACCATTTTCTAAAAAAAACCGCCGTAACTCAAAATTTTGTCTATGTAACAATCTTCTGCGCATTAGTAAAAAAAATTCCTTGCAAAATTTTAATATAAAACAAGTATCATCATAATTATAAACCTGACCCTAATGTACCGTTTTATGACTTTAAAAAAATGTCAATCAGTGAAAATCTGTCAGTGCCACTGGGGTAGTTCAGTAAATAACTGATAAAATCATGTGTTACAGATACGTCACTATTAGTAAAAATCGCACGCACTGAATCTGTGACAGGTTATGTCGATCATCGCGGGTGTCCTATCGGAAAACTATAAAATTGATTAATAACACAGATACTCCGATATGTGAATAATTAGTAGAACCAATCATAAGTGGTGGGGAAAATTGGTAAATTCGATCATCGCTAATTGTAGCCAATAAAATCTCAAGCTCTCGTGTAACTTAAAAAAAAATCGAAAAGCAAATAACGGTATTAGTTATTTAGTGTATCAAGATATAATGTTTACACATCTTTTAATTTGTTCTCATATCAACTTTTAAGTATCTTTATAATTAAATGTTTAATTTATTTTCTTATGGCCGGTTTACAAACCGCTTTGAAAATTAAGACAATTAAATTTTTGTAATCTATTATGCGAGAGAACAATACTTTATGTTACTAATCATGATATAACTACATCATATTAATCTAATTCGCATTGCTAAATACTTATTTTACAGAAGTTAATAATTATTACATTTTTATAGAGCAGTTATACATTTACGCTAAAAAATTTTCACTAACATACTATAAATTAATAGATCCACTAAGCAACTTTGAAAGTTTGTTTACTAATATGAAGCGGTGCTCCAGAATCCAATGGATCCCGTTTTCCTAGTTTAACTAGTTTACAGTAACGTAAATTGTGGATGCCGTCTAAGAATATACGTCACGTGTTTTGTTGTGTTGGTAGATTATCCAATCATTTGGATGTTTTCCCGTGATCAATTATTACGTGTTAATAAAAAATAAACACAATACTTATTTTGATCATCGTTTATTTTTTTTTCTTTAATTTATTTATTTTTGGATTTTTCTAGAATTTCTTGACGATTACGTAGAGTTCTTGACGATGCTTGTGTGGAGTTCTTCACGACGTTTATGTGGAGTTCTTGACGATGTTTATGTAGAGTTCTTGACGACGTTTATAGAGTTCTTGACGACGTTTATAGAGTTTTTGACGACGTTTGTATGGAGTTCTTGACGACGTTTACGTGATCTCTGCAATGTTTTGAGGTTCACTAAATGTATGTTAAATATTGTTGAATTTTTAATTATATTTAGATGGGGAGCTGTTATAAGCTCCAAGTATAATATCGAATTTACTTTTTCTATATCTTATGGAGATATCTATCAGATGGACTTTTAAAATATTTTTTAATATTTTAATCTCCGTCGACTCTACTGGGTGGATGTTTAAAATATTTTTAATATTTTAAACTCGATGTTATGGTTTAGGTTCTACTGGTTCCGGATGAGGAATTAGTTATGAACCTACCTTATTATATCCATAACTATGTCGGATTTCACTTGGTTCGTGTCTGTTGTGCCTCTTATACGTTCCCACTGGGTGTAAAACTTGGGAGAATTGAAAGCTCATCGTGGCCGCAGTTACAAAATGCTGTGAACGTTCTTCTCCCGGTTTCGGCTAAGTAGATGACAACACAACTTTATTAAAAACCCGGAGAATCGAAAGCACTTCGTGGCCACAGTTGCAAAATACTGTGAACGTTCTTCTCCATTTGGGATAACTTCTATAGATATATATTAAGTAAACTAGATATTATACTAAACTATTTTTTATATAATATAAAATTTAATTATTAATTTAACTTACTGTAAACTAATTTAAGTTTTTATTTTTTTTTAAAATTAGAAAATCAAATATCAAGTACGATTAATAATTTAAAATACAGAAGAAATTTTCGGTTATACGTGAACAGTGATAATGTCGTTTTCTTTTCCTATGTCGTCGTTTTTTGGTGTCATCACTTTTTGGTATCATTTTTTTTTTGGCATTGTTATCGTGTTTTTTTTAAATATATATATCTACTTTTTTCGCTAGTGTATCGCTTGGTGTCGTTGTATGCTAGTTTTTATTCATTGCTCTTGCGTACAATTCTTCAACATGTACCAGGTTTGTGCGTAACAAAAATTTTTTAAAGTTCGTTTATGTAAGTTTATATAGTAAAATTGCTCAACGAAAACTTTTTATTAAAGCATTAGTGATTTCTTACGCTGATTTTTAGAAGTAAGCGATTTTTGAAGAAATGGATGTTTATTTTGAATTTTTTATTGCGCTTTGCAAAAAGGTGTAACCTCTACAGATCATCGTGTAATGTAAAATCGCGGTAAATTGGCCGATTTTCTATTCTAAGAGGATTATACAAAATTCCAAATACATATAGATATCAATGATCGAAATATAATTGATAGAAAATCTGGAATTTTCGAAATTCTCCGCTATCGTTGTCACGAAATCGTGGGGTCACACCTTTTTGCAAACTGCTATAATCGTGTTATGTTGCACCTGATCTTGGAATCTGATTTTTAGTCCAGCACAAACTTGAAGAATTGCGCCGGCATGTATTGGCGACATATTTAGGTTTATTTTTTTGATGTACCGCTTCTGGCATTTCATTTCGTTGCTGGTATCTTCGCTAATGTTCTTCTGTTTATGTTAAGGTCAGAGTTGAGAATCAGAGGAGAGTAAGCGATTTTTGACAAAACGGACGTTTTTTTACGAATTTTCTTGATCATGTTATGCTGTGCTTGATCTTGAAATCTGATTCATAGTTCAGGAAGATAAATAGTGATAGGTTTTCTGTAACAAATAGAAATAAGGATTAGGGTTAGTGATAATATTAGTGTATGGGAGTTTATAGTTAGGAATAGAGATGCGATAAAAATTGATACAGAATACGGTTCAAAAACTGCTTTATGTGTAAATAAATAATAAAGTTCTACGTATATAAAATCGATCTTGCAATATTTCCCACGGTGAAAATTAGCAATACCCAATATACGTTATAATGCGTTCCGGATGAGCACGTGACTGCTCGGATGTCTACTTCGAAATTCAAATTTTTAATAGATATAATACCGATACGTACTGAATAAATTATTTAATACTTATACATAGCATATCGTGGCCAGATAAAGGTCTCTGTGCTACAACCAAATTTGCTAATGTTACTCTTTATACGTAGTTGGTATTTTTTTTTTTATTAATCACTTTTTTTATTTTTTATTACTCAGGCATGATTTAATTGTTGGCGCTTTTATTATGGTTGCGCCATTTGTCGGTGTCGTTTTGGTGTGGGTTTTGATTGGTCGATCGCACCTAAATTATTATTACTATTATTATTAGGCCACACAAATTTAATATCTTGGTTTCATAACATGAAACTTTTTAACCGGCCGGTCGGTTTTTTTTTTAATTTCATATATAAAAATTTATTTAGAAACCCACTTGGTCATTACAATTGTTTTCATAAATTCTGGAAAAATTGATTGATCGAATATTTGCCGATTCGATAAGTTTTAATTCGGATCCGAATCAAAAACTTATCAAGACTTATCAAATCGGCAAATATTCGGTCGGTCAATTTTCGCCAGATTTTCCAGAATTTAACCCGGCCGGGTTATGAAAACCAATTAATTAATTTTGCCTTATATCGATATATCGATATATCGATAACTCAAAATTATACTATGATAACCACACAATTTGACTTCTAAATAAAAGTTTTCAGCACGAAATTTTAGTTATATGAGAACATTTTTAAATATCGAATATTAAGTAAATTAAAGCCTGCGCTAAATTCGATCTTTGTGCTCTTTTGATTTGGTAATCGACATAACCTGTCACAGATTCAGTACATGCGTAAAAATCAGACTTTTACATCAAATATGTAATAGACAAATAATTGGCGGTACAATTTTAGCGTGATATTTCACGGTATTACGAAATAGTTATATTTTATTAGAAAATTAATCTCCGATAATAGATCTAGTAAAATATTAATATGCAATATCACGGGCGAACAACTAGTAAACGGGTAATATAATAGTATAATATTATTAGAATTGGTATAACTTCTTAGATATAATTAAAATTCTCTTAAATATATATAAAATAAGTTCTAAATTATATTATAACAAGTAGTACTAAAAAGAGTTAAGAAAATATTAGTATTTGTAATAATGTTAAAACTCGAAACATTTGTATAAACCAGTAACAATAGGTCTAGTTTACGATATAAATTGATCAATAAACTAATAGTAACAACAGATCTAACTTAAGATACAAAGTTCATTGCAAATTCTAAACCATTGTTAAACAATCTTAGAAGAACTAATACCAAGCATACCAAAAATAAGAGATTATAAAAATTATTAATTCAAAATTATTAATTTGAGAATTATTACAAATATAAAGATAAGAGATATAAGAAACTTAGGTTAGTTAAAAATATGTAATAGGATCAGAATGTTAAAGATAGTAGTACCTGAACCTTTTAATTAATCAAAGCAGTTTAATAACAATGTTATTCAAAAGTGTTAGGAACTTTAACTGCAAGTGTTGGTTTTGATTATATTATATAAGACGTGCAACAGAATAATATAAGTGTTATTTAAGATGATTGCAAAAGGTCAGCAATCTGTGTTGAGTTAATGTGATCTATTAATTAGATAATAAAATAGTTTCTTAAATATATAAGTATCAATATTCTGAACTCACTAAGATTGAATAAAAACTGACATTCACTGCCAAGTTTAAAAAAAAATTATATATATTTATATTCTAATTTTTAACATTTTCTATTTTAATAAATTTTAGCTAATTTAATAATTTTACTATTATTAAAATCAACAAAATCCACTCTACAAACTTAAGAGTTAATTTAAAAATATTGTACTCTATCCTTAAATTAAAATTTTTAATTTCATAATATTTAGTTGTATTTATTTATGATAACCTATGCATATATTTAATACTATATCTAATTCTATATCTAATTATATATCTAATTCTACGTCTACTCAAATTTCTAATCTTTATGCTATATTATTTATACAACTATATTTTTATAAAAGATATTTGCAATTTTACTACAGTATATTCATATATAAACTTCTTAAATTCGAATTTTTTTAATAACGATAATCGCACTCATAGAACTCTAAGCAACCCCGAGGAAATTTAGACTGAAAAAAATTACATGTGTAGATTTAAACCGGGAGTGAAGCGACGGGTAACACCTAGTAATAATTAAATTATTAGTAAATCCGTTATAACAGGACTGACGCCAAACTTATAAATATCAATCCTCTAGATTTCATCAATAAGATAGTATAGTGTAGCAGTGTTGAATAATTTGAAATTTGTTTAATTACCATGAACTGCCATATACAAGACCTTTCACAATAGTAGTATACTTACTGGACAAATCCCAAACCCCCAAAAAACAAATTGCTTTATAAAAATTTAAATCAACAAAATAATTTGATATTTTATAAATATATTATATATAGCTATAAGAATATATCATTTATTTAAATAAAGATTATTAACAAGGCTTTTGAGATATTAGTTTAGGCTTGGGTTGGGATCTGGGCGCGGACAAACCCAAACTATAATAGTTTGGGATTTGGCCGGCAAGTATAAATAGTAGACCCGCTATATATATAATACCCAATTATGAATCACAAAATTATAATAACCAAATGTGTTTTTTTTCAAAGATCTAAACTGTTTGTTAAAAATGAAAATACGTATGTCTTTTAAACGTCTTCTCTTTAATATTATGAACTTTTAATCATAAAGTTTTAAAATCGGTGGATATAGGAGATCAGGTCTTGTGTATGACAGTTTACAGTACACAATCAATAACAATAAAACGTAGTTTCGCTCTTTAATCAATTAATAAAATACTGAGTATAAATTATTGTATATCATCGTTGTTTTTTAATTCATTTGTGATTAGATTATTATAGTGAGAACTTACGCTGTATTGTCGATTTATTATACCGTAGTAACCCATTTGCATAGTATTTTCGATTTGTAATCATGAGAATGTAGATAACGTGTTTTTTTTTTTGCCCTAGACTTTCCCTGGTTCTTTTCATCCTTCGATATCCAGCTTTTATATATGAACAGTCTTAGCATTTAGATATTTAGATAAAGTAAACCGTCCACCGGCACTGCAGTCGACTAATCACAAGTAGGCTTTAGTTTAGCTAGTAGATAGTAATATATCTATTGATATAACGATTACCCGAGGCTCGCTAAGCTGCTTAATTAGTATGCACGAAGCAGAAGAATTAGAGAACTCAGCTTTGTTTAATTGAATGTCTCCTCAATGAGACAAAAATAATTTGATTGTGTCGGATAATAGTCTTATGGTCAAGTGAATAACGTTATAATAATGCTTTAATCATGGATAGTTATGGCTCTCTTATTTGTAGCTTTATTTTCTATTCTTAGTCAAAGCAAAAATACAAATTTAAAACAGATCACACTTTCTATATATAAAATTCGTAGTGCTTATTTGCTATAAGTAACTCATTCTGATGTATTAGATGAATTTTTAATTATTTTTGCTCCTGGTATGGCGGTAGGGTTGAAAGTTTTTTGACATTCTGCATAGGAAACACCAATACCGAAACCGGTCGATATTGCAATAGGCCAAGATTTCCCTTTTAATTTTGGCATTGATTATTACAAAATCATTAAGTGAAATGACAATTAAAACTTACTATACATACTTTTAAATATAAGGGCAGAAGCAACGATTCCAACACTGAGACCAATGCCTGTTTTTACCAGTAAGTTTGATATACAAAAATCCCACTAATAAATCAATAAAATACATAAAATAATTAATCTTGTAATCCAATTTTTTTTATGGTAAAAATTAATGATTGCCTTTTCATTTAAAATATCTTCGCTTGGTGGCTTCTTGTCAACGCTCATGTTTGTAAGGCAAAAATTAAAGATTGTAATAATTGAGATCGAATAATTGTAGATAATCATATTGGAGGTACAGATGGACCGTTCAACGTTACACGATCTTCATTATACCAGGAACGGAGTGATTTTCACTGATCTACAGAACAGGGGGAACCGTCACATCATTTGTAGATCCGTTACACGATTCATAAAAAAAGTTTTTATATTGTTTTAGAGTACTTTTTTAGAAAGCTCACGTTACTTATCCTACTTTGAAATGTGGAGTATCGCTCTAAGTAAACTTAAAGTTTTCGCGCCGTATTTTAATAATATCGGTTGAATCCATTTGAATCCAACAGCTTTTATATGACGATTTACCCTGCAAAGTTGTATAATAAAGTAGGTAATTTATGAAACACCGAACTACACTTTTTAGACGTCGAGCAATAAAAAGTTAAAAGCAACGATCCAGCAAAGGCAATGTGGGCTTGAGCATTAGTTATTCGGTTTTTTTTGTTACGTGCTTATAAGAAAAATATTTAAAAACTTAAGACAAATATATGATGATATATGTAAACTAACTATATATTTTCGTACAATTTTTATTACAAGGTAAAGATATGGACAAATATAAAGAATGTAGACGTATATAAAACTTTAAAAAACATATATTAAAATGACAGTCATAGTCAGGGAAATTGTGCAAAATATTTGGGTTTTAGATTATATGAAAGTTCCTGTAGAAAATACAGTACAGATAATACAGTAATAATATTAGAAGTTAGTTCGTCATTAGTTAACTGTTAATACAGTAATAACTTCGCAGAAAATTAATGCGTACAGTACATTCTGGATTTTAAATACATTGCGGTTTCTATTTTGCCTTGATTTTGCTTCGATTTGGCATTATTTTTCGTATTTTTTATTCTTTTGAAACTTACGATTTGATTGGCTAAATAACATGTGACAATACATGAACATTGTGTTGATCTACAGCCGTAACTCAAAATTTTCATTTATGTAATCATTTTCTGCGCATTAGTAAAAAAAATTCCTTGCAAAATTTTAATGTTGTTATAATTATAAACCTGTCCTTAATGTAACGTTTTATGACTTTAAAAAAATTGTTGATCAGTGAAAATCTATTGGTGCCACTGACATAACCACCCACAAAAATTTTTAGACACGTGATTCTGGCCAATTATATTGAAGGAGCAGGTGTAACGTAAAAATCGCGTCTTTTTAAAATCACTATTATCTCGAAAATTTTACTTATGAAACTGCCTTCTGCGTTCTAATAAAAAAATTCCTCGTGAAATTTTAGTATAAACTATGCTCTTCCTCATCCTTAATCCTAACCCTAAATATAGATGATACTTATTACTTTAAAATCTTTTATTATTTTGATTTTACATTACTAATGTCAAATCTTCAAATCTCATGGAGGGTGATTCATAGGCAGAAGTTTGTCTGATTGGCTAATAAATTCACTTTAATCTTACATTATTTATACAGTTGAGATTACTTTTTAAAAAAACGAAAACTAATCATAATGAAATAAAAAAAAGCTTTATAGAAGGTCATTAAAGTTGTAGGACTTTATAGTAAAAAATAAGGTCTAATTCTCGTCCGTTTAAAAAAATTAGCTTAAACGGATAAGAATTGGATCTTATTTTTGGCCATGGAGTCTTACAGCTCTAATGAAACCTTCTATACGGCTTTTTTTAGAGGCCTACATTGGGTCCCGCAGCCTGACCCGGCCCGCAAATTTTTACGGGCCGGGCCTCAAAATTTAATAATAAAATTTTGCGCTGAAGAAAAAAATTTTACATCTGCAGGTCGGACCGGGCCGGCAAAAAATTTTAACGCTAAGTGCGGGCCGGACCGGGCCAACAAAAAAAAAATTTAAAACTAAGTGCGGGTCGGGCCACATAAATAGGTAATTTGCAGGCTCCTAGCTTTTTTTATTTCATTACGTTTAGTTTTCGGTTTTTTAAAAAGTACTCTAAATTGTATAAATAATATAAAATTAAATTGAATTTATTAGTCAATCAGATAAAATTTTGCCTGAGTACCTGGTTGGCGTGCCACAGTGACATAACAGGCCGGAAGTCCTTAATTAGAATTTCAAAATAATGATGCATCATTACTAGTGCCAATTAACAATAATAAAAAATTGCATTAATATTAAATATTTTTATTCTTTTATAACATTAAGGATGCAAAGTTTAATTAACAACCTTTAATTAGCCTATTGGCTAATTTTTCTGATTTACCATTTTTACGTTAACAAATACTTCCATTAAATTATATATACCAAATTGAGAATTATATTGAACTTAATTCAATACTTATTTTAGAAAATATAACTATTGGTTAAAATAAAATAAATTTTTATATTAATATTAATATTAAGAAAAGTGTTTTAAAATAATTAGATAAATTTCAAGAGATTTCAAAAACTACAATATGATTAACAAAAATTTATGTAATTAAAAGGCAAAAGTAGTTTTTAGAAAATTATAACACTGTATTTATAACAATATAGTAAAATATAAAAATAATAGTTGCAATATTAAAATTCTTTAGTTAATATAATAAATATATAAATTGTTTTACAACAATTAAATTTTGGTTAAGGAAATTATATTTATATATACAAAATAAAACTTCTAATTACTTACTCAATTTAGTTACCTTACTTAGTTTTGTTCAGTTAATAAAAAACTCAAAAACAGTATATTAATTTATTTATTTATTTTTTTTTAAAATGAGGGCTTGCTTATATCTTTATTAATAATTTAAAATACTTATATGCAGTTAGGACTAACTATTAAACTGCTAACTATACAGCTACTACTATTTGTACAAAACAAATAAATTAAACATTATATGCAAGAATAAAAGCTTAAACTAATTTATCTGTAATCTAAACTTACTAGAGTAATCAAAACTTATTTAGATTTGAATGTTTAGTATATAATTTAATAATATGTTATATTTGATCTATAAAATAGAGCAAATGTATAATTTTGTAAATTACTTGGTCAATAGAAGGGTATGTATTAAAGTGAGTATATAATTAATTTAAAAATTTGCAAAAACATAAGTAAGTATAATTTCTTTGAGAATATGTATGTCTAGTAACTATATTAAATAATATTAAAAGTTTGTTAATAAATTGAAATTGAGGTTTATTTTGTTATTTTTTTTAATTAAAAATATAAATACAATATGTTTTTTATAATTATTAATATACTTGTTTATTAATATTTAAAAAAATAGCAATAATAATTTAAACAACAATTTTATATAAGATATTAAAGTTTTGAATTATTAATATAAGTAAGTTTAAAATAAGTTTTTTAAGAATAAGATTAGAATAAAATATGTTAGACAGTATATATAAAGAATTAAGAACTAAATAATGAAGAATTTTATTAATTAGATTATATTTTTAATAAGTATTAAGATTAGGTAAATTATTAGAAATAATTTAATTAGTAAAGGTTTAAATAATTTAATTAAGCAAGATTGGGTTGACACAAGTATATTAATAGAAAAAAAGTTAGATAAGTTGCAATAAAAACAAGTAGTATCTAGATATTGGTTTGAGTAAATAGTATAAAATAATAAATATGTTAGTAACTTATTAAGAAGAATTTTGATTTTAAAAGATTTTAGTTAGTTAAGTCTAAAATTAGTAATATTGTATAAGAGTTTTTAGCTATGATTAAAATAAAGCCAAGTAGATTTTTAATCAATATTTTAATTAAAGTATATCTATTTATTATTGCATTTTGTAATACTTATATAGCTAAAATATAAGTTTTACAAATTTGCTTAATGAAGTATTTTGTAAAAAGTTTTATATAATATTGTTTCTATTAAAAAATATGTTAAGAGTTATAGATATTTGTATAATTAAATAAGAAAAGTAGTAATAATAAATGTTGTTTAACTATAGAATTAGCTTGCTCATTAAGATAATTATCTGAATAAGTCTGTATTTTATAAAAAAAAATTGTAGTTTATATAATTTAATAATATTTAAAAAGTATGTCAAATAGATCACAAATTAAATTTAAATAGCTTGTTAGAATAAATTAAGTTATATTAAAGGTTATTAAATTTAGAAATTACTAATTAAAAGTCAATAAAAATTTTAACTACTAAATTATAAAAAGCTGTTAAAATTGTAGCAATAATTAAATAAAACTTAGCTTTGTATAATAAAGGCTATAATTATATTTTAGCAAACAAGAATTGATAGTTTGATTATTATTATTAACTTGAATTTAACTAATATTTATTGTATATTAGTCAGTACTAATGTTAATTACAAAACCATTAATATAAAAAAATAATTATTAATAAAAATAAATATAGTAAAAAATTAATATAAGTTTATTAAGGGGCAGACCATAGTTAAAGGATCAAAAATGATTAACATTTAATAGTTATATGTGACGGGCATTTAATAGTAAAAATTTAATATTAGTAAAATGGTAAAAGATCATCTCATTAACAATGTCAAAAAATAAAAAATATCAAGTATGGCTTGCAAATAAAGGTCAAATAAACTTAAATCTTCATTACGGACCATATGCTCAGGACTGGTGGATTCAAGATTTAAAAGTTTCAAATAATAGCATACTAACTCTTCTTTTTCATCTTTATATGAATGTTGTAACTCAAATAAATAGTTATAAATTTATTTTATCTATTGTTAATAGGCCCTCAAACCCTCTACAGCCAGGTTTTATATGTTCTGCTAGTGAAAAAACTAGTAATATATATGATACTCCTTTAGCTGCTATTAACATATTTTATAACGAAATGTTTGGAACTCAAACTGAACATTCGGGTTTAGCAGTATTTGGGGTTTATAATAAAAAAATTATATCAGAAATACTTACTGACATTTCTTTTTTTCTATTATATATAAGATTTGATAGGTTTTTTATTATAGTCTCAAAAATAGGATATTCTTTATGAAAAGATCTTTTATATGCTAGTTCTGG